AAATATCTGCAATATGTTCTTACACAGGATTAACATATTAACTACATATGACAAGAAGTTAATATCCAGAATATATATGGAATTTAAACAAGTCAACAGCAAAATAATCCAATTAAAAGTAGGCAACAAATTTAAATAGATATGAAGGGAAGATATACAAACAGCCAATACATTATATGAAAATTCTTACCATCATTAATCATTAATAACTGTAAATCAAAAACGTGATGAGATGTTCCCTACACCAGTTAGATTAGCTATTATTGGAAAGACAAAAGATTCTGCTCCTTGGTGTTTTTGCTAAGATTAAGCATAAAGTCACAAAATAACAAGCGCTGGCAAGGATATATAAAAGTGACACTTGATAAGAATATAAATTAGTAAAGCTTTTGTGGACATCAGTATAATATTTCCTCAAAAATTAAAAGTAAAATTACCGTATGATCCTGCAACCCCATTTACACCATGGAGATGAAATCATTATAACAGACATAACTGTGGTCCACATCCACTGTAGCACTCTTCATGATAGCCAAGAAGGAGAAACTAAGTATCCACCAAGCACTGAATAAAGAAAATGTGGTATGTATGTACAATGGAATACTACTATGTGATAAAAAATAAGAAGGAAACTTTGAACTGTGTGGCAACAAGTGAACACATATGAAACTGTGTTGAGTGAAATAAGCAAGGCATCTCAAATGAGTACTGGATGATCTCATATGTACAATGGAAAAAACTTTAAGTCATAGAAATTGAGACTAGAATGGTGGTGCCCGAGGTTGGGAAGAGAAAGAAGCAAGAGAGGCTTCTGAAGCCTCTTTGAGGCAGGTGAACCAATGGGCACTGAGTTACTGCCAGGAGCAATGTGTGGTGTGCACCGCCCAACAGTGACTGCCTCCCACAGCAGCAAGGTGCTGTGTGCTTCTAAAGCCGGAGGAAAGAAATTTAAGTTGTGTCTATCATAAAGAAATAAGAAATGTTTGAGTACACAGACATGTTTACCCTGACTTGAACATTATACAGTGCATACGCATATTAAAACATCAAAAGATGCCCCTAAAATGTATCAATTTTTATATTAGTTTAAGAGGAAGTCATACTCGAATATAAGGGCCACAGAGATATTTCCAATATTTGGAGATATGGAAACTAGCAGAGTTCATGTTTGCTCTCTCTCTGTCTTCCTTTCTCTGTCTCTGTCTGTCTCCAGATATAAAACAAAACAGTAAAAAAATCCTGATATATTTGCATGAATTTTTCAAAAACAAGTAATAAGTGTTTTATGTTGTATGTTCTCTTTTGTAGAAGAAAACTGCCAATTCTACGGTCTCAAAAAATGTTGCCTGACAGAAGCTGACCGTTCCACACAGAAGGGAGTAAAAGAACAGCTTGTCATGAACTGTTTGCTATTTCCCTGGGATAAGAAACCCTAAGTAGTTCAAGTATAAATCATCCCTTTTTCTTCCAACCACCCCCACAGTTGGGGTTACTGGAAACTAATTAAAAATGCATTTTTCAAGCAAGGTATTACTGAGAGACTGCTTTTTTTCCCAAAGGGAAATTCAGTAAAGGTTAATAAACAAAGATCTTGGTACACTACTAAGAGCAGTTATTATGTACATAATGAATTCTACAATAAAGCTGTTTCAAAGAACTTTGTTATGCACTGATAGGTACAAAGCAAGCATGTAGTGCAAGGAAGTTATATATGAAATCTATGTGAGACTTTCTCAAATAATTTCTGTTAGTTTCTCAGCTGCAACATTAACATATTTTCTTTTCATTGCTTTATTTTAATCCACTCTCTTCCCGTCATTGTTTCAGGGGCATATATCACTTTTATCTTCAATTAACTTTAAATTAACTGAGTCCACCTGTCAATCCCCAACAGGAAGGTGACTGGTGATCTAGAACAAGCACTTATAAAGAGTAATTTTTTCATATTCCAGCATCATTCCTTAGTTTAAAAAGGAACTTGAGGGCTCTATAAATGGAAATTGTGGGGCCAGCAAGATGGTTCAGAGGGTACAGGTATTTAATGCAAAGCCTGATGACCTGAGCTCAAGCCCTGGGATCCACATGGTAGAAGGAGAGAAACGACTTCTGCAAGTTCTCCTCTGACCGCCATACGTGGACATGTAAGCCCCCCCACACATACATACATAATAAGTAAACAAATGTGAATTTTAAAAAATGTAACTAAATAAATGTAAATTTAAAATAGATAAATTTAAGTGGAAATCCTCCCCATATATTTATCTGACTTACAAATCTGTTTTTTATATACTATCATTTATCTCCAAGTAGGACGCAACTATTTTGCAATTGCTACATTCTAATATTGCTAATGGATGGAATAAAAACACAGAAGTAAATCAAAGAGAATGTGATAAGTCATAGATGAGTTTAAGAGTAAGGAAGTACCATTTTTCTATGTGTGGCTCACATCAAGGTTAACCCACCCGACAAAGGGCAGAGGCCCGACTGTCAGGGATTTCACAGAAAGCAGATCAGAGCTGGAGCCTGTCCTTCCATGTCCTGTAGTTGCTGCTAGTTCCTCCTGCTCCTGTCTCACTCTGAGCCCAGCCCTGGCCTAGAGTCAGCTGACAGCTTCCACTTCTACCTGCTCCACAAGGAGGCACCCTTTCCTTCTGCTCCTGTTCAGGTCAGCTCCTCAAATGCTCACAAAAGAATAGCTCTTCTCTTATCAGCCAACTACCCAAACTGTGGAACAGTAAAAGAGGCTGGTTCTGCTCACAGAAATACTTACCACAAAGTCACAGCCAGTGCTCTTCTGAATGTCATCCACTGTCAGGCCTTCCCAGAGCTCAATCAGAGTCAGCCCTTTCTTCTTGTCCACGTCAAATACAGCCTGTACAAAGTCAGGAAAATGATAACAATCGTTCCCACAAAAAAAAAAAAAAAAAAAAAAAAAAAACCAACTGCAATAAATACAAAAGAGATAAACTCTCACATTCTTAAAAGAGAGACAAGATCCAGGACCAAAGACTAAAAACCAGAAATTATAAATAAATGCCAACTCTAACTGCCAATTAGTTGTTGAACTTTGTGGATGCAGAAAAGAGTGTCAACTACAGGTGACATCTTAGTACTTCAACCCAATTAAAAAACTTTCTTCATTTGTTAGGTCTAACACACTGGGTAAAATGTCCGAGAGGTGACTAGTGACCTGAAGAAAGAATGGACTCAACGAACAAACAAGAAGGGAGGTGGCAGGTATTTGGAAAGAGAAAGGATAGGGATGAAGAGAACAAAGCTGTTGGGTAATAATTTCAGGAAACAAAAATGATACTGTGACATACCCAAAAGTAATTATGAAATAATAGCTGCCTTGGTCCTGAAAGCCCGGTCAACACATCCAGATAGCTGTTAAGCTGTCCACTGCTAAAGTTCTCCCTTTAAAATTCCACAAAAACACTTGGGTCCCAAAAGGAGGGAATGAGAATCTCCCTATGGTGAGCAAATCAAATGAAATGCTGGCATTCAAGGCAGACATGAGTGACAACCTCACCTTGAACATTTTGCTCCAACAATGGCCCACAGTCCCCAGTGATGGCAGCACCACAAAGTATGACTTGACCATAGCAGAAGGGATCTACAAAAGCATTCAATATAGCCTTCTGCTTCAGAATTCTTCAAAAGTCTTCTCAGATGGCTGCTAGGACTCTGCTTGGTTCTGGAGTATGGCTCACTTGTCTGAGGGAAGATCGTCTGCTCATAGGAAGCTCTAACTGTAAGGCCCGAATGCTCCTCTGGGCTGTCAACCTTGTACTACGGTCCTCCTCCTCCATGCACTAACAACGCCGCTGTCAGCTCTCATGGGGAGTTTCCCCTTTCTCAGACTTAAAGGTTATGCTTCCCAGGCTGGATTTAGCTTAAATGTAACTATTATTTATAGCCTTCAATCTTTAATTTTGACTACCTTTGAAGTCAAACCTCACATTGTCATGTTTAGGCACACTCCTGGCCAGAAAGCAACAGGAAGTGAAAGAGCACTGGCTTTGAGCTGAACTGTAGCACAGCTCTGCTGCACAACAGCTATGCAACCTTGGTGAGCCTGTGGTTGTACAACTCCTGAGCTTGTGGTACAGGATAAATATAGGAAGATAATGCCTTCCCTGAACAATATCTGGGCTGGTTTAGGTGTGTTCTCACTCCTTAGCAGAGTAACTCGTCACTTGGGAACTCAATTCAAAGCACTGAGATCATTAATGTCTCTAGTCGGTTTATGTTTTTCTCTGAGAATTAATGTCCTGGGATCAGGAGTGCTTACCTCCCTTGTGTGGTTGATAGCCTGGTTAAAAATACTGAAAAGATTATTTAAATTTACAAAGAAATACTTGAGCAAATTCTCCTCTTGTTTGCACATTTTATGTTTCCCTAAACAAAACTTTTTTTTTTTTTTTTTGCTTTCAGTAGAAATCTGTGTTTCATGGGGAAAAAAGTGATAATTTGGAAATGTCTATATATTCCATTAGCTGGCTTTATTCTGCAATGACAATTTTTAATGGATATTTTTTGTTTGCAGAAAGTGTGTCTAGAGCACCATTCAAACTGATTTGCTTTTTCATGCATTATGAATAACTATAAATTTATAAAAATGGGGAAAACAACACAAAAAAGAATGTCTGGATTATGTTACTAGACAGGGACTGAAGTGATTTAGGGAAGTGATAGCTGTCGTATCACGAATACAAGGCTTCAGGAATCAGAAAGATAAAGTCTATGACAAATTGACTCACTGCTTTAAAAAAAATTATTAATATCTTTATCAAACACTAAGAACTCCAAGGTCATATAATAGAAAGCCAACCATCTATAATTTTTAAAAAAGATGGAAACTTACTTTTGAAATATTTAATATTTCTAGTTAGTATTCTAAGGGACAAACAAAAATTTAATTAAAAGAGACTAATGCTTAAACACTAAATTATTCACTGATTATAAAAGTAATACTGAAACTATTTTGTTTTACAGGTAAGTTGAATACTTTATTACCATCATAAATGATACATTATGGAGAGGACAGTCAATTATAGCCGGGTACTGGTGGGGAAGGTATCTTTTATAGCCTGATTATAATCTCCTCCAAAGGACAACAATGGCATTTTCCTTGGAGCTGCTCATGGAACACTCATTTCCTTAACTAGCACTGGCAGGGCGCTGTCCTTAGTGGCACTGCATTCCCATTCACTCAAGTCACCAAGTATCTATTGGGCACCTGCTCTGCATGAATCAAGAAGTAAACATGTAACTTCCCTCAGATACCAAAGTTTCAGATTGGCTGCCTTGACTGCTCTCTTCTTTCCTACACAATGTCACTTACAGTTCATGCTCTGATTGCTGCATATGCTAATGGTTCATTCCAGTACTGACTTCTCTTTTGTGCTCTAGATCCAAATCTCCCATTTTTCCCTCTAAAATTTCAGGAATATAAAATTGAGAGTGCTCAAACAAAACCTCTTCTCTTCTGCCTCCCATGTTCCTCCTCTTGCAATCTGGGGTTTGGGTTAGGACACAACAGGTCAAGCACTCCATCTCACCAGAAAATGCAGGAATCACCTCTGTCCTACCAACTGTACCCTGCTCATCAAATTAGGTTGAAACCATTTTAGAAATTTCTTTAAAATCTCTTTCTGTTTTTTGATTTAGGATCTTTGGATTTCTTGCCTACATCATTGATGGGTCCTTCCAACTGAAATTGTCTCTCTTCTTTATTACTAATGCAAATTTTTTTTCCTAAGCAATAAAAAAAAAAATTCCTGAAGGCTTCCCATTCCCTTCCTGATAAGAAACACATTTTAGAAGGGCATTATACATGACTCTGTTATCTGCTCCTCACTGTGTTTCCTGCTTTCGCTTCAGAATGTGGGTGCGCCCTTGATCTGAGTGGTCCCACTTGCAGGTCCTTGAACAAGCCAGGCTTTCCTCACCCCTCTGAGATGTGCCTATTTCCTCCTTTTGCCTGCAAGGTTGTCTTTGATTTCCTTTTAAATTATAAAATTCCCATTTGTCTTTCAAGACTTACAATTCAAGCTATCAGATTTCTCAGTAACATAAGTATGGTACATTTGTTTAATGAGGTTACTGAGCATGGGCTGGGTACCCTGCTAAGTGTTGCAGGAACAGTGGTGAGGGAAATAGGCAGAGAATTAGCGGTTATTTCAAATACAACTGTGGGTGCTAAGTTAGACTAAGTACAATGATTCAGGGAAGCACTTGCAAGACTTGAATATAGGAAACACTTGACAGAGAAAAAGAAAGAAATATATGGCTGAGACAAAAGATGAGCAGGAATCAGTTCGATGGATGGGATAGGAAGAATGGTCCAGGGAGAAAAGGAATCTGTGAACTCCCCAAAGAACATGATCCAGGAGAGAATGCAACATAGCTCACAGCATTTTAATATGGCTAAGATGAGGGGAAGTTAAGTCTGAAAGACCTGATGAGAAAAGGTATGAATGATGCAATGCAGTGTGTGGTGCCACCTTGGTGCTGATGCCCAGGCTGCCAGGCTGCTCTCCTGCAGTAACTCAGCATCTGCTGTGCATCCCCCCTGCACCTGCTATGAAGTTTGTTACTCTAACTGCCAAAGATGCTGGATGCCTGCTGTCTAATTCTATTAAATGTGTCCCTTAATGAGAGAGACTATGCCCTCCTCCTTCTTGTAACCCACATTTGGAAACAGTCTGGTTCAGAGAAGGTCCTCGAAAAAAAAAAAAAAAAAAGATGACTAAATGAATGAATGGGTAATATATAAGAATGGGAACGATTAATGATTAATAATAAAAGGAACTTTATTCAGGTCATTAAGCTCAAGTACTCATGTAAGTTATGTCATAGGAAAATGCAGGTATCAGATGGCACAAACTAGAGTAAATGAGGGGGGGCGGTTCCACCACTCTGAGGATGACATCTTGTGTGCTGAGAAGGTTCAAAGCCTCTTTGTGAGGCAGGTGGAAACTACAATGAGGATTCAAGGACCGGTGGGATTCAGAGGAGCAGAATGTGCAGCAGGAGGTTCTGTAGTCAGAACTGGGGGAGACGAGGGCAGGGTAAACATGGGCAGAGGCAGCAAGGAGAGGGCTTACATGGGAGAACTGGAAGATCAGATTGAGGAAAGACTAGTGCTAGAATCATCCTGATTAGAGCTACCATTTTATTAAAGGAATTGGGGGGTCAAAGACTGCTCTGGGGGTGGAAAGACAGCTCAGTGGTAAGAGCAATGGCTACTCTTGCAGAAGACCCAGGTTGAAATCCCAGTATCCACATGGCAGCTAACAACTGTTCATAACTCCAGTTCCAGGGAATCTGTCCTCTGCAGGCACTGTACAGCAAGAGTGTATTTACATACATACAAGCAATATACTCATACACATAAAAGTAAATTTTAAAAAAATTTAAAAAGACTGCTCTGTCAATATCAAAGCAACAGATCTTCTCAACAAACCCTGTCTATAATTTGGGGGAGATTCAAGAAACTGACAATGACTTTTATGCACTTGCCCTTCTCTACATGGCACATTTATGGAATTTGACAAACAGTCCCAGAAATACACCCCTGAATAGACCCTTCCTTAAAAATCCAGCTTCTGGGGAGTAACACAGACTTAACCTTCATTAAAGGCCTGCTTTAGGTGTTTCTTCCCATCATGTAGGGAAGGTTAGTGAGCCACACAGTGCAAGATACTACTACCACGGCTCTGGGCAGAGAAAAAAAGCATTGCTGAGAGTTACGAAGAGAAAAAACCAACAACACGGTTCTGTGGTTTCACCAAGTACTAAACCAAGAAAAATCTCCTTCCCAGACGACTCATGAGAATCATGACATTCCCACATATTAAGTTCAAATCTGGGATAGAAATCCGGCTCAACATAGCTGCCCCAAATACTTCTCTGATGTGAGCATGTGTTTTCAACAGTATAACTGGTCAACGTTTTCCATTAATGAAGAAAAACATAGAGGCACAGCAATGACTAGTATTCTGAAGTCCCACTTCATAAAGTTCAGAAAGCAGCAAGAAACAGAATACTTGTCTTGCTCATTGTGGGGTCTTTCAAACTCAACTTTGAGTGAACTTCCTAACATGAAAATCCAACGCTTTATTCTTGGGATTTGGGCAGGCAAGGAAGAAAATAAGGAAGGATATGTACTCTGAACTTTACATTTATCATCCATCTTGACATCTTAATAGCCAAATTTAAGGATCAACAAAACCCTTCTCTGATTATAGCATGCTGTCAAAGTTAGCAAGGACAGTAGCTCAATTTTGTGTGTATATTTCCAGGGAGCTGTACATGAAAAAATTATACATTCTGAAATGTTAAGTTAATTAATTTTCCCATTCAATCTACCCATAGGCTAAATTAATCTTATGGTATTGATGTAATATAATTTCAGAAGGTAATAAAATACATAGACTATGTTCCTAAATAAACTAGAAAAAAGGCAGTAGTAGATATCAGAGGATATAAATAAAGGGAAGCCTTTTACCTTTTCTGTAATAATGCGGTTGACACACTGCTTTCCTGTCAGTGGTAACGTACACTTCTCCATGATTTTATGCGCATTTCCCTGTTTTAAAGAAAGATAAAAAAGCACAAACAGTTAGGGAGCAATTCTCATTTAGCACTGGTGTAACTCAGGAAAACAGAACTATCAGAGAACAGACTTCTAACTACAGGCTGTTTCCAAACCTTTGCACAGTCCAGCTCTTCTCATTTTAGAGGTAGGCTCTACCCTTGAAATAACAGAAAGGATGCCTACAAATAACCAAAGATGTAAGTGATTTGGGAAACCCTGTGCCACAAATGTGAATTCTCAAGCTTCAATTCTAACATCCTCTTTATTTTTCTCTTCCAGGGAATGGTCCTCATAAAAGCTCCAAAGTTATTTGCCAAGGAAAGGAAGGATTTGTGGAAGACAAACATGTAAGCTCGCTCCCCCTTTTAATACACATTTAATTTTCTTTCTTGAAAAAAGTAGCAGTTGCACAGAAAACAGCATTTCCACATTTAAAATATATTTACATCTGTGAATGTCATAATTTGGGTTTTTTTTTTTTTTTTGAAAGCTGAATAACTGAAAACAACACATCGTGAGTGAGGTAGAGCAGACCAGAAAGGCAAATCTCATAGCTGAATGCTAGCTTTGAATACTTAGATACATGTCAATCGGAAAATGCAGAGAGGTCAGGAAACAAATGGCAAGGGCCGGGGTGGCTTCATGGGATGGGAGATGGACTACAATGATATAAAGGGGGAAAGGGGAGTAACAGGGAAGAACTAAGGTGGGGAGTGAGAGGGCAGGACAGAGGACAGAGTATGGGGAAGAATAACTAACACTAAAGACCTTCAGGAAAAAAACTATGGACATCTACCATATAGAAGCTTCTTAAAGTATGTGTATGCACACACACATACTAAAATGTTTAAAGGAGTTACGCTACATCAGGGGGATATTGCCCCTACTGGACACCAGCAAGTTAATAACTAGCTGAATGCCAGGGATGGACTCCCTCTTTGAAGCTGCTGACCAGAGGTCTCATAGACCCTCAAACAATACTGACCATATCCCTGCTCTAGGTTACCCACGAGAACTTGATAGTAACCTATTGCTGAAGACACTGCATATATGGTGGGGGGGGGAGGAGGAGGAGGAGGAGGAGGAGGAGGAGGAGGAGGAGGAGGAAATAATAATCAAGATTGTACTGGTACTGACTTCAAAGCTTCATCTCTACTGGCTAGCTTTCATAATGCTGGAAGACTCTATACATGCGAGAGGGAAAAAAAATGCATTATTCTTACCTAGCTGTGAATCTCAGGTGCTTCAACAACTGGTCTGGCAAGATATGACCTCTGGTGTAATAGTGGCAGGAACAATATGGGAGTGACCAATCACTTTCTAATTGGATTTAAGGTCTATGTCATAAGATGGAGATCACATCTCACTTGATATCAGGCCTAGGAACATGTGGCTAGATGGGTCACAGGCCATAGGGGAGAAAGCTCAATTCTACTATTCTGTTAAACAGATATAGTATTAAACCAACTCTTAATGACATTGTTATAGATTAATCCATCCCTCAACTCTCACCAGAGATGTTTCCTTACATAGAAGACGGTGATAAACACAGAAACCCACAACTGGATAGCATGCAGAGAATAAAAGACTGCAGTGACCTTGAATTGGACACCTATATCAAACTTGTGCCTTTCAAGACACAGGATCATTGTGGATGAGGGGACAGAAGGATCATAAGGTCAGAGGTGATAGATGTCTATAAGGAAACAGAGTTTTCCAAACAACTGGTCAGTTGCTCATATGAACTCACAGAAATGGTGACAATATGCACAAGTACCATGTAATCTCAGCCAGACAAACTTCCAGCATAGGCACAAAGAAGTGGGTAAGAATCCCAATCCTACCTGAGAACTATTGGGAACTGATGGCCGCTGGGAAGAGGAAAGTCAGTCTCTTTTAAGGATATGACTTGGTAGGTTAATCAGGCTCCAATGGATGGATTCAAATGGAGGACATTTGGGGACACAAATTAAACTCTATAGGTATGTATATATGTAAAATAGTGTACACTGAAATCTACCCAATGACTTTATAGACATACACAGGTGCCAAGGATCCAAGTGCAACAGATTATGACTAGTAATAATCAGATACATACAGATTAGAGACACATGCACCAACATCTCAGTGTTATTAGCAAAAACAATGAGTCTTTCCATAAGAAACAGTATATTTTAAAATGAAATGGAGATCTTTTTTAAAGGTTAAAAACTCATCCAATTTTATGTCTTATAGGGCTTATACTGAGTTCAATACTCTATAACTGTATTAATTCAACAGCGAACCTTAAAATTTTATAGCCACTTTTGAAAGAGCTGTATCTTTACTCTAGAAACTGTTATTGAGTATATTAAAGCAGTAATGAAATGCTTCTTCTAAAATATCAAAAATAAATAAGTGTACATAAAATTGGGTAGTGGACACTAAGGAGTGGGGAGCAATAGGGGAGGGGATCTAAATATGATCCAAATATAGTATGAAATTCACAAAAATTCAATTAAAAAGGAAAATATATTTAGCACGCTATTTTTTCTTGCCTATTAATTTCAGACACTTCCTATTGATTTCTTGTTGTGTTAGATTTAATTCTCTTACAAGCTGCACTCACATCCCCAATATGCCTGTCATCATTTTCTGTACTCCAAATATGGCATGTCACGATGTGTTATTAATTGCACCGTTAGAATTGACTTCATTCTGACCTAATGACCACGCAAAACAGACCACTGCTGGGCCAGGTAACTGACTATGTCACTTTCTCATGTAGCTATTTTACTCCCCAGCGTTTGTTTGATGTCTAGCTTTGCTCATTTTAATATGTGTGACATGGCCTAAATGAATATTTCTTTTCAGAGTCTCTTTCAGCCAGTTTCTTGTAAAACAGATGAAGGATTATGAGCAGAGACTAGGCTTTTAGAAGTGGCCTCCCAGGCACGTTTGTAAAGTATTGCATATTGGCCAGCCTTGGATCTCTTCTGATTATTGTTATACTCCTTTGTAACTAGTAAGCATTAGGATCATAAATTAATAATTCTCTTGTGGTTGAAGGCTGGCCTAGTACATTCTGGATCTTCTCTTAAAAGCATCAAAATGCTTTGACTGCTTTCTTTTGGATCTAAACACACCACATATGACGGATGCCACCATCATCCTCAGTCATCTTCATGTTGTGCCTGTTGGTGTGAGACCAATTACATGTTCAGAGGCAAAGCAGTTCAGATAACTGGGCTTAATTATGATCTCACTCCTTATGATAACTTGACAAGTCTGCAATACACCAATACTAAAAGGCTTCAGTACACATAAGTTAGTGCAAAGCATAAAACATATTCAGAAGTTTTTTAATGGATAGATGAATGAATAATGAATGAATGAATGGGAATGGAAAGGGTCTTGAATTTGGATAGATGTCTTTAAAAGAAATTTTCTATTGCCTTAATTTAGTCAAAATTAGTGTTACCTGCATATAAAATAGCTAAACAGCTTGCCTTCAAAAACAAGTTCTTTGTTTCTAGATCTTGCTGTATTAGAAAATGTAAAAATGTACGGATGTAAAGAGAACCTCATTTTCACTTCTCTTCTACTTATCTCTTTCCTTATGAGATTTCAAATTCTGCATGTCACAGACGCTAAATTAAACAGCTGAAATTAACGATGAACATTAAACTTCTACAGTTGTCAGGTCTTCTTACATTTAATGTAACTCAAATAAGGCATGTCACAATGAATTCCAAGCCTGACTTCAAACACAGTGAACAATCTGTAGGCCTCTGAAGAGCACTTCCTGCAGGGAGCTCTCACTTTGTTCTCATTATTAGAGAAAGAGCTACATATCTGGTATGAAGGCAGCCACTTGGATTTTAATAAACAAGCTCCATTTTAGAAATATGAATTATAACTGACAACAGGAACAGTGTTGTATCAACACAGACCTTTTATAAATGGGTTTCTGCATAAATAATACAGCACAGATGTAAAAGGTATGGGCTATTTATATTTATCAAAGGGCTTGTGTGCAAAACCTGGCCCTGCTCACATTACCTGTGGGAGACCCACGTGTCCATTCTTCTTCACCCATCTCATCTCACAAGGTTACTATTAGATTTCAATGAAATGCAACTACCTGATACTTAGAAATACTCAATACATGTTAATCAACCTATACTTAAGATTCATATAACTAATTAAGAAATTTTTATGAGTTTTTAAGTCTGACAGAAATAATCAGAAAATGGGTAAACACAATTCCTGAGACCACAGTACATGTTTGGAGGTAAACTGTATGGCTAACTTAAGAAACTGGGACCTGGTGTATTTTTGCAGTTAGAACAATGTAGCTAGACAGTTCCATTCACATTTAGTTCTAAGACATAGCAGAGATCAGGGAAAGAGAGGAAATGTGATGCAGAAAGATTACAAAGTGTCACAATTTCAATATGCAGCAATAATTAGTGCTGAAGCCAAAATACGACTAACTCCCACTTTAGCACTCTATACTCACCACGTTGGGCTGAACATCACGGTGTGGCATGGCAGCTGCATGCATTAGTGATTCACAAAGCAGGAACAATTGCTAAGTTTTGAATGTTTAAAAATAAATCCTAACAAAGGCAGGCAGTATAGTGTGGCAGAAACACACACACACACACACACACACACACACACACACACACAACTCCCACTTTAGCACTCTATACTCACCACGTTGGGCTGAACATCAAAAACATTAGAGGAAAAGACCAAAAAACAGGTCCCTTAAATTCCTTGTGTTGTAGTCCTCAATTGCCTCGTTCCCCTTTCCTAATCATGGGAATCAAAAGAAACGTTCTGAAAGTGTCATGAACTAGGAAGGCACAAACTGATGTTTAAAAAAACACCCAGCATCTCACTGCTCATCCTTATCACTATTGTTTCCTCATCTTCTCCAAGAGGACAGGCCTGAAAATGCAGAGACATGGATATAATGTTCAAATGTTCAAACACTTAAACCA